GTAATTTATAGTTAAAAATAAAAGTTAAACTTGGTACTTACTTTAGGCGCCTAGTAAAGGGGATAATATTATTTAAAATAAAGTTTTTACTAATTTTTTACACCTTTTAATATATTACCTTTTTTTGTGCTATTTACTAGTTATACTTTATTAGCTTTTTTTTTAAATAGGGTTACTAGCTAGGTTATATTTAAAGGCCACGCCCCGCGTATTTTTTTAACTTTATACTTTATTTATTAAATATATCTTGGGGGCTTGCTTAGGTATTTTAATAATTTTTAAGTAATTTTATTAGCAGGCGCCTCGCACGTGTTAGGTAGGTTAGGTATAAACTTAATAATTATAAATTTATAGCTTATAATTAGCTTAATAATTTTATATTTACCTAGACGCGAAATTACCAGGCGTAAAATTAACTTAATTTTTAGATCTTTAAGTAACTAGGGGGCGTTTAGGTAATATTTAACTTGCCTAGTAATTTTATATTTAACTAAATATAAAATTATTTTAATTTTTAGTTTTTCAGGCGCTTGGACGCAGCTTAGGTATTTAGCCACCTTATTAAAAATCTTATTTATTAATTATTTTAGGGCCCCTAGTGTTATTATTCTAGCTTTTATAATAAGTAACCGCCTAATATTATAATTCTTGCTTAATTTTTTAAATCCTGCCTAGGTTAAATATTTTTCTTGTATTTAGCTAGTAATAGCTTTTAAAATATATAAATTTTTAAAAGTTAGTTATAACTAGTAAAATAAATTATATACTTTATATTACTATTTTTTTTAGTATTTATTATAAATAAGGCTTAGTGTTAAAAAGGCCTTCCTAGGATAAATTTTTTCTTTAAATTATTTAATATAAAATAATTAATACTTTAGTATATAAGGTTTTTAATAATTACTAAAAAGTTTTTTATAATACCTACATAGCTGCCCTTGGCTTAATTTATAACTATTACTTTTATTTATAATTTTAGCCTGTAGGGCAAGTTAATTTTTTTACATAGTTATTTATTAATAATATTAAGTTTTATGCTGGTATTTAAAAGCGCCTTTATAAATTATTTTTTTACTTTAATTAAAATTTTAATACTTAAAAATATATAGGGGTTTTTTTTACTAAAAAGGAGCTTGAACCTTAAGCCTTTTATAATAATATTTATAAGTATTACTTGCATAAATTAAAAGGGCATGTTATTAGTTAGCTTGGGTCCTAATACTAAGTTTATAATAGTTATATTTTTTAGGGTTACTTAGGGGATTTAGGTAATAGTGCTAAAAGGGCTTAAATTTATAAAAAGTTAATAAAAAAATATAAAATATAGGTGTTTAAATACCCTAAAAAGGTTATTAACTATAATATTAGTTATGGGTTGCTAAAGTACGCGGTTAAGTATAAAGTTTATTAATATTTTTTTTTTTAGCTTAGTTACTAGCTTATTTTTAGTTACAGGCTAGGATTAAATAGTAGCCTAAGGCTTTTTATTTTTTTTTTTTTTTTTTATATCTTAATTTTTATAGTTTTTATTACTTTCTTTACCCGGGGCTATTTTTTTGCGTTTTTTAAAAGTTTAGACTTTTTAATTATCTTATTTATGTGCTGGCTAAATCTTGCTAATTAAATAATAAGGTATTTATTATTAATAGCTTTATATTTTTTAACTTATTTATTAGCTATAAATAACTGTAATTACACCTTAATTAAATTATTAAACTTATAATTAAAGTTTTTGCTATTTTTAGTATTTTTTTTTAGGTTTTTAGTATTTATAAGCTTAATAACTAAGGCTTTAATAATACTAATATTTACCCTTAAAAATTTTAGCTTTAACTAGTTTTTAATAGCTTTTAGTACTTACTTTGCTATTAATACTTTTAACTAGCCTTTAATCTTAGGTTTTTTATTTCCCGCCTTGCTAATATATAACCTATTAATATTTAGGTTTTTATAATATATTTTATTTATTATATTTATTACTTATATAGTGTAGATACCTATATAGCATTTTAAGATTTTATAATAGTAGTAATTATTATAAGGCAGGGGTGCTTAAACTAGGAGTACTAATATATTATTAGGCAGGTATTATTATTTTTAGTATTATTAAGGCAGGTACTACTAGGGCGGGTACTACTAAAATAAGTACTACTAAAATAGGTACTACTAGGGTAGGTATTACTAAAAAGTAGCTCTGGTTTAGGGGGAAATATATATAATAGTTTAATATATAAATACTTAAGGGGGCGGTACCTACTATATATTTAAAGGGTAAAAAGGCTATTATACTTATTAAGCTATTATAGCTTTAAGGTTTAGTTATAATACTTTAATAACTTTTATAATTTTTTAAAGGTTATCTTAGGTGGGGCTAAAGTGCCTTTTTTACTAGCTTATAATTTTATTAAATAAAACTAGGGGTTTTTTAGCTACTAAAATACTAGTTATATGCCTAAAAGTATTTAAAATATAGCCTTTTTTTTTTAGCTTTTTTTTTTTAAAAATATAATAACCTTTTTACTAACCTTAAAATATAGTTTTTTTACTGCCAGGGCATTTAGTATATACTTTTTAATTATTTTATACTTAAGCTAGTGGTAGCTCCCTACCTTTAATTTAAATTTTTTAAAAACTTATTAGGCTAGGTTACTTGGGAGGCCTTGGGTTAGCTAAATATATTAAATATAATTATTTAATTTACTAATTTATATAACTTAGGCTAAAATTATATTATATTTTATAATATAGTTATAAAGGTTATTAGTCCACGTGCGTGGCTAGCTTTTAAATTTTTTAAAATACTAATATAATTACTTAATTTAGTACTAGTTAAGGCACTAGTATTTATTTAGCATAATAATTTTTAAAACCTTTTAGTTTTATTTAGTATACCCTTTTAAGTTTCTAATAATATTTAAAATACTATAATTATAGTAGCCTGCCACTTAGGTAACTTTTTTTAATTTATTATAAATATTTTAATTTTTATAAGCTTGCTTGTATACTTTTAAAAACCTAGTTATATTTTTATTATTAAATATAGGCGCGCCTAAAGTACCAGGAATTAATATAAGGGTAATTAATAAAGGGTAATACTTTTTTTTTACCATGCCCTTTATATTTTTAAAAGTACTGGTATTACTACCGCGGGACTTACTAAAGGGCATGTAAATTTTATTAATAATACCTTTAAACTTACTTTTAGCCGCGGGGAATATATTACTAAAATTTTTAATTATAAACATGGGTATTTATTTAATATTTTTACCTTTTTTTTTACTTAAAGATTTAAATACGTGGGATATTTTTACTTAATAGTAAAAGTTAGCAAGTAGGTAGTAGGCTTGTATATATTAAAGGTTTTAAATAATTTTTTAAAAGGCTAGGTTTGCAAATACTTAGTAAAAAATAAAACTTTATAATTATAAAAAAAAACTTATAAAATATTTTTACTTTATTATTAAATACTTAGTATAACTGCCTAGGTAGGCCCTTGGGAGCTTTACTTTAAATTTACTAGCTATATTTATATTAAATTTACTAATTTTATTATTTAATTTATTATATTTATTAGGTAATTAATATTTCTTAGGATTACTAGGCCTATTATTCCCCTAAAAATTACTAGGGCGCTTTATATATAGCCTACTTACCTTACTTACTAAGTTTAATTTATATTTACTATTTAATTTTTTTTAACCTTTAGGCCTTAATAGTTCCTTGCCCCTTTTTTTAATAATTTTAAGTACTTAAGTTATTAAGGCATAGCTACTAGTATTAAAAACTTTTAATTTAAGGGTTTAGCAAGCGCCCTTTTTACCTTTATAATATTAAAAAAACATGGCCCTGTATTAATTACTAATATATAAAAAGGTAGTACTAAAGCATGGGAATTAAAAAAGCTAAATAATAGTGGTATTTTAGGATAGAATGGTACATAGTACAGGTAGAAATAATAGTAAGAAAGAAAATATATATATTAGGGTAAATAATAGACTAGGTACAGGAGGCCGGTAGCAAGGCTATAAGTACTACAGGAATTAATGTTGGGGTGCAACCCCACTACAGTAAGTATAAATTAATAATATAAATTATAAAAACCTTATTACTAAATATAACTTTAAGTATGCTAAGTAAATTTATACGTAAAATAAGACTTTATAGTAAAATTTTATATTTTTTTTACCTTTATATTTTACTATGGTTTTTTTATTTTTATTTCACGCTTTTTTTATTTACCCTACTTTTATATATATTATAGTTTATAAGAATATAGACTTCTTTATTCCCCGGCACTATTAATAATAGCAGAGTACTCTACCTATTATGTAAGCTAGGCGGTTAATGTCTTTTATACTTAGCAAACCTTAATTAGCGAGAACTTAGGAATATCATCATCTTTCACTTCATAAAACCCTGCCCTTCACACTTCCGGCGTATCGAGGAAGATGACATTGAACAACCCAACTTGTCTTCATCATTGTTCCCATCCTTAATGTTCGGGCACAAGCAGCTCCACCCCGCTTGTCTCAGCGCTGTGGCTTCTATCCTGCTCGTCGTCGAATCAGAACACCGCAATTACTATGCTCTCGGTCAACAGTACGAGCCCTCTGATAAAGTTGTCAGAGCTATATTGCTAGGGGCAAGAACTGCGCAAATCTGGATTTGCAGGATACGTATGCAGGGCAGTTCGAAACCGCAATTCCGAGGTTGAACTCCGGGGTAATTCCGACTTCTGCACTTCTCATCCTGAAGAGAGAAGGGATCGACAGGGCTGCTCCGAGTTCCAGTGTTTGGTATAGGGCTAGGCCCACTCGGCCATTGATTCTGATGAGCTTGGCAGCAAAGGGTTGCGTCTTCTAGAACTTGTCCGCGTAAGTGCCTGGTGCTGGAGTGGAATGTAGTGTCTAGAATCTGGTCAGAGGGCAGGTATAAAAGGGTGATCTGGGCCACTGTGAATATTCATTCAAACAAGCTCACCTCCGATCTACCCGCCCAGCATGAAGCTCTCCATCATTGGCGCAGCCCTTGCGCTCTCCACTGGTGTTCTCGGTATGCACCTGATACATCACCTTCTATGATGCACCATGGCTAATTAAACTTACCTACGCAGCCCACCCCGAAAAACTGACCGAAGCCTCCGCCGCACACCACCACACCACCCGCTCAACCAACGCCTGCGCAGCTCAAATCGAAGCGCGCGCAGAGGCAACCGCTCTCCGCCGCCGCGAACGACTATCCCAGCGCTCAGCCGAGAAACGAAACATCTACCCGACGATCCAGAACTCGACCTGCGTCCTGGCCCCCGAGACAGTCTGGGGCCCCTACGGCATCGACGGCGAGCTGTACCGTCATGACGTGCGCGAAAACCAGGCGGGCATCGACCTGTACCTTGACATTGGAGTCATCGACGTTGAGACGTGTGAGCCGTTGCCGGATGCGTACTTGACGATCTGGGTACGTCACCATCATTCCCATCTTTAACTGACCGCAGTAAATAAGCGACGTGCTGATTAGCGTTTAGTCCTGCAACGCAACAGGCTCCTACTCCGGGTACACGGGCATCGACCCCGACACCGCGGACCTACTGGATGGCTACACCAAGAGCACCCAAGGCACAACCGACAACGAGACGTTCCTGCGCGGCATCACCAAGACCGACGAGCAGGGGATGTCCGAGTTCCTCACCATATTCCCGGGCTACTACGTCTCGCGCACGACACACATCCACGTCACCGTGCAGACGAACGTGACCAGCAGAGACGAAACAAGCTATAACTCTGCCTCCGGCGGCGTGCAGCATCTAGGCCAGCTGTTCTTCCCAGAGGACCTGATTAACTCTGTCTATGCTCTGGCGCCGTATTCGCAGCACCTGGCGACGTTGAACCGCACGACGAATGCGGAGGACTCGCTGTACGCGAGCGCCAGTGCGGATGGATACTCGGCTGTTGTTTCGACGGCGCTGCTGGGGGAGACACTTGCTGAGGGGCTCGTTGGGTATATTACCATCGGCGTGAATCGGTCGGCTGAGGCTGCGACTACGACGGGTGGTAGTGTTAACCCGCAGGGTTTCCTCCCTACTGCTAGTCCGGCGGCTGGTGCCCAGGAGAATGCGTATGCTGTTGATCGGGCGGAGGGGTATGTGGATAAATGAGCGGATCACGCCGCCGTCTCTTTTCCGGTTATACTGTGCCTGGTTTGGACTCAGAGGGCGTATGATTATCTGTAGTAGTGCTTCCGGGGCGCAATAGATAGAGCAACCGAGTGATGTTCCTAGTTGTTGTATAAAAGTTTAATAGCTTAAGATCTGATGTACCGATATGGTTTCTTGATATTGGTGCAAGCTGTAGTTGCGAGACATGAAGTTGCATCGTCCGCGGTTGATATATTGGACATAACATGTACCGCTATCTTCACATGTGGTTGTCAGTGACCACACCGTGTTTCGACTTGACGGGGAGCCGGGTGCAATGGCTCGTTTCCAACCATTGAAATGCTCCTCATAACTCATTCAGAGCAGAGCAGCAACTCCAAGCGCGAGGGCAGGCGCAGCAGTGACCAAAGCGCCAATGGGCCCAACGCCACCCGCCGCAGCACCCGGCTTGTCAGTCTCCGTCGCCGTGCCGTCAGCCCCATCAGTGGACGTAGCACTACCATCCAGGTTCTCCAACCCCCCGGTAACCAGCAAGTCCGCGCTCCCAACCAACCCAGTCGGCACCGCGAACGTCGTATCCACGTGCTCGGTCCACACTACGCCATCGTTGGACGCGTACGCAGAGTGGCTATACGAGCAGGACGCACTGAGCGAGGAGCTCGTGAACGTGCACCCATAATCCACCGTCGCCGTAATGGTAGGAGCCGCAACCCAGTCGAGCACGGTGTATTCGCCCTTCAAGGCCCAGGTTGAGGGGCCTTGGATCATCGTTGCTGGGTGCTTGGAGTCGATGAGGCACGAGCTGGAAGGGGCAGAGTCGAGACAGCCGATGGCTAGCGTTGTGGCGGTTGCGTCGGCGGAGATCACGCTCGCGGCTGAGCTGGTGTAGGTGGGGATGTTGAGCTCGAAGGACATGGTGGCATTCTGGTTGAGGTGAAAGTAGGGGAGTGAGGTGGTGGTTCTGTCATTGGCTGCGGCGATGGCAGCCAGGGCCAGCGCGGCGGTGGTAGGAAGGATTGCGGTGCGCATATTCAACAATTTGATTCTCTGAGAGCGGACGGAATGTTGGGGTTTCGATCTCGCTTGGTTGAGGGGTAGGCGAATCTTATATCCAGCCCCTTGTTGGATACATGCCTGAGAATTGTGATTGTTCTTCAGGAGTAGAGACCCCGGATCAAACGCCAAGCGTTAGAGCATGAAACCCTGCCAACCAGAATGCTGAGGCGATAGCTTAGCATCCCAGCTAAGGCTGATAGCGCATTCAAATTTCAGTAGCGCCAAGTGCGGTCCCAGCCGCTGGGTTGTATAATTCGGAGCCCCTGATTGGACACGGCGCTATAAGACCCTTGTGAATGTGGATTGGGAATTTGGGATCTGGACGGCATACCTGAGGGGTACACTGGGTGGGGTGTTTGACATTGCTCAATGTTCGACCGTGATTGGGTTCGAAATCTTGGAAATTACGGTTGGACCGACCTGGTTTGCTCCCAGGGCCGACGGCTAATTCGCGATTGAGCTGTCAGTGTCACTGACGAGACACTCCGAGCGCAGATGATGTGGATCGCCTGCGCCTGAACGCGTGGGTCTAACGAGTTGAAGGAAGCTAAGGCCAGGGGCAACCTCTTGGCAGCATGAGAAGAGGCTTAGCTTGTCGCTTAAAGCGAGGCCGAAGATGAAGCCCGGGTAACCGGCATTTTGTGACTCCGCTTAGGCAGCCGGAGTCTCGTGGATAGACTAAAGAGGCAGGGCGCTGAATGCTGATCTTCAGACTCTTGAACAGAGACCGGGTGTCCGCAGACTTGCACTCGAAGAAACCAGCGATCCTGGTCCACCGTATCTACCCGTCACGATCACGATCGAGCGCTGATCAAGCGGGAGGGAAAGCGATTTCCTCTCTTGCAAACCAAATGGAAATTTAGCCCTGGTTGTTCAGCTTTGGTCTATACCAAACACTCAGAGATGGCCCCGGGAATCGCGCTTGAATACAGCACGTAGTAATTGTCCGAAACTTCTAAGGAGAGCCCTCCAAGAGTCTCATCATCTGGTGGCTCTGGTGAAACCAACTTTCGAGCTCGGTCCCCGGGATATCTAACTCCACGTCCATGCCATAGTTATCGAGTTCGGGCATTTCCATTGGTGTCTGAAACAACAAGGGGTCTTCTGCCAGAGAGCAATCCCCGGCTTGGTCGGCGGAGTGATGCCCTTCATCCTCCATCGTCTCTGTCAAAGCCTCTGGGACCACTACTCGGTCGAAGGAATTTCCCGCGTGTGCTGAGAACCGAGTTTTTGGCATTTCGAGCAATGAAGATGATTGGGCGTCAGTTCCAAACAAAACCGTGTCCAAGGCTACACGGTGCGATCCGCTGTTGATATTTAGTGGTGACTGACCACTACCCGCGGCGGCTGCCCATGGTCTTGCATTTCCGGACTTGGTCTCGACGTACTTCGCGGCGACATCATACAGCGCTTTGAAGATGCGCAGTTGTTTGCCACATGCACTGCTGGCAGGATCCCCTGACGGCCGCGCTAGTACTATTGACTGCAAGCCGTCAACCAAATACTGCAGACGGTCCAGATCACACGAGGCAGATGTCTCGACGGTGTTACAGAATAGTATGAGGAAGGGAATGAAGGTCGCCGTCTGGACGACCTCACTGATCCAGGATCCAAGAGAAACAAATAAAGATGCAGGCGGAGATACCGCTAATGGGTCTGTTAGAACGGCAATGCACGCCTTGGCCTCGTCGAGAGCGGCTCTAGCGGCCGAGATGCACTCCGTACAAGGCGTCATGCTCGGTTTGCCTGATGCCGTTGGCCGAACGACGCCTCGGTAGATGGATGCTAAAATAGAGTAATCGGTGGCTTTATTGGCGTGGACGGCGAGCTTGTACAACCGGGTTGGAAGGGATTGGGCGGACCACTGCATTGGATGTTTCTATGTTCATAGTGTCAGCCGTGTGGTTCGCAGAGGGCATACAAGTGCGGAGCCTACATAAAGCTCGTTCCTGATAGCCATCATCCTTTCGAGCTCAGAAGCAAGAGATTTGATGCGCGATTCCCGAACAGCAAGTGGCTGTGACAAGGCATGCGAGCTGTAAATATCATCATAGACCCGGCCGTACAGCTCAGCCATCTCAATCCAGTCTGGTAGCTTGTTGTGGGATAGAGATGTCATATTACGGTCTAGTCGAAGACGCGGGATCGTGATATCGCGATCTCGAATTGTTGAAGGCCGCCCTAGGCGTAATGACACTGCTTTCTCAAGCACATAGACCGCCCAGAAGAGATTCCTCCTTCGCTGTGCCTCTTCAGCTTGTTCGGTTGACACGACAAGCAAGCTGTGCAGCCCCAGAGCCTGGCTTGTCAGAGAAGACCGAGAAATAAACGTCCATGCCGTAAATGGCTTGCCCTGTTGAAGGCAATAAAGAGTCTGTTTCTCAATCAGAGTTTGCCACGGCACGTAGAGCTGAGAAGATCGGCAGCACTTACAGCCATGTACGTAGCACAAACCGAGTCCACATTGTCAGGAAGATGGATAGAAAGATTCGACAGTATCGTTTCGAGACTATTTCTGCATGTGCCCGCTTGCTGCGCGTAATCTTGCCGGATGCTTTCATCTCCGGCAGTAATTGAGCACTCGGTAAACAGCCAGAAAAGGACGTAGTGGACGATGATCAGCTCGGCTTCTGTCACCGGCCCAGGGGAGCAGGCTTTGATGACGTATTTGGTGAAGTCGCCGGGAGAGCCAAATTCAAAAGGCCAATATAGCTGACTCGGAGAGCTTTCTGTGGACTATTAGTGACTGGAGCGCAATATTCATTGCGGACGCACCGTGGGCAAGCCTGAGCACTGCCATTATTCGATCTATTGGTGGCATTGGCAGATCCTTGAACCCAATTCCCGGAGGAAGGTCTTTCGAGAATGGGCGTGAACTTTCCAGGCTCTCATTCTGATGTTTCTGAATCTGGACCGCATTTTGCAGTGCATCCAGCGCCAATTCCAATTCATCGCTGACATCAGAGTGCCGGTCGTTTGCCACCGCAGCCTGAACGAACTTAGTCGCATGGAGGACATGAGCGAATAGCGTCGACTCGATGGCTTCGGGTTCTGAGTTCCTAGCACTTATAGTCTCGTGCTTATTTATGCCGACAACCCGTGCTCGGGGATCCTCGGACGATCGAAGCAGGCCATGGTCTAGGCGCCTCATCCTCTCGCTGAGGTCATCGATCTTGTCGGAGATCTGCTCGAGGCGACTCTCGCTAGCGGCACAGAGATGTCAACAAAGGCTTCAGCGCTGAATAATAGAAGTACTCACTAGGCGCTGGATACGAGGATCCGCTGCTTCCTCTCCTTCACTCGCTGGCTCGACTTGTAGGTGCATTGCGATCTGCTCTTGACGCACACTGAACACGGATAAATGCGGTCACACTTGGTCTTTCTCATTGTCAACCTTGGAACTGGCTGGCGGTTTCGTTGGAAAACACACCTTTCGTTGGCGACATCTATCACACTGTTGGGGTGTTAGCGGCGAACTGGGGAAAGACGGGGGCCGCGTACAGCTAGCTTCTCTGTTGCCGGAGACGGAGTCTCGGTCACGTCCGGGCCTGGCCAGTCGTTGTGGGTGGTATCGATACCCGACATGATTCAGAGCGGAAGGTTCGGACTGCTGGAATGGAGATGGAGGTGCAAAGAGTGGAAAGAGTGCGCGAGGGACGAGCGAGATTTGCCGGACCTCGGGACGCCAAGACTCCGCCGTCCGCTCGCCATCGTTCGACGTCACAGGCATGCGTCCGAATATACTTATATATCGTGCGATACCCCCCAGCTTTCCCCTGCAGAATGCTCAAACCCATCCAAGCGTCCCTCTTGATCCTTGCTAAGTTGCCTTTTAACCAAAGTGAGGCCCGTTCCCTCCGAAACCCTCGACACAAACTAACACAACACAGGCCAACAGTTACCATGAAATACCGCGGCGTCGTCTACGACGTCGGCCTAAACTTCAACGGCACCGGGCTCTCCGTCGAGCCTTTCTCGCCGCCTCAAGCCGAGTACGATATGCGAGTCATCGCCACCGAGCTACACGCCAACGCGGTCCGCATCGAAGGCGAGGAGATCGGCCGGCTGGTCACAGCGACAAGGGCGGCCCATTCCGCCGGACTAACGGTCTTCTTCAACCCATGGAAGATGAATGACGATGTCACCGGGACGCGAGTCTACCTAGAAGAGGCCGCGAAGGAGGCAGAGAAACTGCGCAACGAAGGGGTTGGCATAATCTTCGTGGCCGGCTGCGAGTACAGCATTTTCAGCAAGGGTGTCTTCCCGGGCGAGAGCTTCAATGAGCGGGTGATGTGGATGGCCTCTCACTTTCCGCAGGGCCAGATGCCGGAAGGTGGGAACATGCCGCCGGCCTTTCGCGAGAAGGCGGGCGCATTGAACGAAGCGCTGCGCTCTTTCGTGGCAACTGCACGTTCTCATTACCACGGGCCTCTAACGTACTCCGCTGGCACTTGGGAAGCCGAGTTCATTGACTGGGGTATGTTCGACATGGTCGGACTTGACTACTACCGCCGCGGCGAGAGCGAAGAACAGTATGTCTCAGGTCTCCAGCTGTACAAGCGATTCGAAAAGCCTCTTGTCGTCATGGAAGTCGGGTGCTGCGCGTACGAGGGCGCAGCGGAGCGCGGAGACGGCGGCTTTGCGCTTCTGAAGGGCACGAACCCGGACGGCAGTGGGATTTTCGAGGGTGGTGTTGTTCCGACGAGGAGCGAGGCTGAGCAGGCTGGGTACATAGGCACTCAGCTTGGTCTGCTTGATTCTGCGGAGGCCGGGGTCGATGGGGTGTTTGTGTTTGTGTTTGCGTTTCCGTGCATGCGGGCTGGCGAGGGGGCCAAGGATCTGGATATGATGACTTTTTCGTTGGTCAAGTACTTTCCAGAGGAAGATTCAAGGAACAGTGTTACGCCACCCTGGGAACGGAAGGAATCGTTTCATCGCGTGGCTGATGTATTTGGGCAGATGGAGTGAGCTGACCTGGCACGGATAAACATTAGAAAAATCGCACTAGAGTCAGGCGAATTACATTTACGTTCAAGGGAGTGTTAGTCAGAGTTTCATGTTGATGAGTGTTTGTTATCGAACAAATTGCTAACTTTGTCCCTTAGAGGAAGAGCCCGTATGAACAAGAGAAAAAGTAGAGTAGAAATTGGGAGTGCCAGATGGCATCAGGAGACGAGGAAACGGCCAAGGCCAAGTCTCGTCAAGCCATCACTGAACATCCACAACGCCCATACTCCCCCAAACCTGCTCAACGGACGTAAACCGTCCGACGGCGTCAACAACATCATCATAAACACAAGCAGACCCGACATACCGCCCATCAAAGCGCTCCTTGATCCAAGCGGTCCACACCGGGTGGCTCGCAACAAGCGCGCCGTCATGGTCCACCGACGGAAGAAGGTAGTACATGAGCTGGCTAAACGGGAAGACGTCGCAGTGGGCCCTCACAACGTCATCGTTATGGTTCCAGGGGATGATGGTGTCGTCGCGGCCGTGCAGGACAAACAATGGGCCTCCCAGGGGTTTAGGGCCTTGGCCGGCGTACTTCTCTTTCCATTCCAGCACTTCAGGCGCGGAGAGGAAGGAGGCGTTGTTGAGGTACATGTCGGACAGGGTCAGGTTGTTCAGGAGCGGGATCGCGACGTTGAGGCAGCCTGTGCTGGAGGTTGCGAGGTCGGTGAGGTCGATTAGTTTCTGCGTCATGTAGGTTTTCAGATCGAAGGTTGGGAAGAGGCGGGCGATGGAGCGGAGCATGAACGGGACGAAGGGCTCGTGCAGGGGTCCTCCGTTCGCGCGCGAGATGAGTTCGGGGATGAGGTCGATGGTTTGTATGGCTGGGGAGATGGCAACGGCACCAATTAAGCCTCCGATGCTCTTGTTTGCGTCGGCTTCGCGTTCGGCAGTGCGCCATGCCGTAAGCCCTCCCTCGCTATGGCCCATCACCATCCACTCCTTGGTAATCCCGCTTGGTATTCCCTGTTCAACCCCGGTCTCAACTGCCTCGCGGACGGCCTTGAGGGCATTGGACACGTCCGCCGCATGCAGGATTCCAGCGCTGTACATGAAACCGGTGGGGATGGTGCTGCCTAGGCCGGCGTAGTCTGGGGCGACGACGAGGTAGCCTTCCTGGGCGAGTGCGAAGGGGGCTTGCCAGTTGTACTGGAGGCCCTTGTTGTTAGAGGGTGCGCACTGGGGTGTGAAGCCGGCGGTGCCGTGAGCCCAGACGATGATCCGGTGCCGTGCATTGGGGCTTATAGGGTTTGTGTAGGGGAACAGGACGTAGCCGGTTGCTGGGAGGGGCTTGCCGTCAATGTCTTCGGAGACGTAGAAGAAGCGGGTGAGGGAGAGGCCTGAGGGGATCCAGTACGAGGTTGAGAGCTCGGCAGGGTCGACGTTCTCCCATTTGATGAGGTTGCCGACATTGTAGGAGGAGAAGTTGGAGGGAGTCTCGTAGAAGGGGTCGAGGCTCACGTCGCGGTGGGCGAAAAGGGCGTTGTCATTGGCGAGGCCAGTGGTGTAGGCGACTTGACAGGAGAGATCGCACGAGGCAGGGAAGCAATCAAGACAATCAGAAGCACCGCTGACAGTCATTGCCAGATGGATGAATGCTAGGAGTATGCCAAAAAGAGAGAGCCTGGTATTGACTCTGGAATGATCAGAGCGATAAAAAAGATTCCAAGTACGCATCATGAGAATGCCGTAGCAGAATCCGAGAAACAGGAAATCGAGGGCCCTCAATTTGGTGTTGGCGACTAGCTGGTCCAGCACATCGACGGTCTTCATCTTGGTGGTGGCAATCGGCTGATCAGAGTGTTGGAAAGGAGAAAGGAGGATGAGAGAAAGAAACTGGGAGACAAGAGAGAGACATATCTTCAGAATGAGAGAGTGTGCGAAGCTGATATTAAGCGAGAGTCAGCAAAGTGCGCAGATTATCACTGGGAGTGTTACTATTCACACACACTCTGGCGGGTCTCAACACAAGGACTACTTTTCAGGCAATTCAAAATACACAGGTGGCAATCAGTCAAGGTTTTCACCCAGCCGTATAATATTAAGAAACAACTTGAATAGTTGTACTGAATGAGTACATTCGCGATTGTTTGACACACACTGGCTGATTGCCTTGCCTGGTCCATTTCCAGGAAAACCAAAATCGCACTGAAGTAGCATTCCTTCCAGGGGCAGACACACTTGGTTCCTTCAAGCAGGAAAAGCTATTGTTTCTGCTCCGGCCTCGAGTCACTCCAAGCGCATACCCCTAAAGGAGCGATTTCTTATTCCCATCTACGAACAGCCGTAATCCAGCTCTTGGTCATGGACCTAGAGGTAGGAGATACCGTGATACTGGAACCATCGAGCTCTCGATCCACCGCACACTTCCCACTAACACAGACGAGGTCGTCGGCGCAGTCATCGAGCGTGGAACAAGGTGCACCTAGCATAGTAAGCAAATGAGCCTGAATACGACTGTGCAATGAAGGACAGGAAGCGTGGGAGCAAAACATACCTAGACACCGTCCGGCCCAGGAACAGCTTGGGGTTGGTGAGGGGGATGAAGTCACGACTCTCTTCGCCATAATGCTCATGCTCCCAGTAGGCGAGGGGGACTCGGTGGGATCCGAGTCATCATCGTCCTGCTCGACCGCACAGACTCCGCTGGCGCACATAAGATCATCTGAACAGTCATCGTCGGTGGAGCAGGACGATCCTAGATAGCATTCTATTAGCTCGCAGGTTCGGTTGGGATATGAGAGGGTGATGAAATATTCTATGAGGGGCACCATACCTAAGCAATGACCAGGCCAGGAACAGCTTGGGGCTGCTGAAGCGGAAGGGGATGCCTGTCTTCTAGCCATAGTAAATCCAGTGGAGGACGGGGTTCCTGTAGGCTCGGTCTCAAGGTCGTTGTCAACCGCGCACGCTCCGCTGATGCAGGTAAGATCATCAGAGCAATCGTCCTCCGTGGAGCAAGGGGCGCCTGGGTGGGAAATATGTTAGCCCCTGGCTTTGTCTAATACCGCGATGAAAAGCGATGTTGAAGCTTTCGAGTCCATACCAAGGCAATGACCAGGCCAAGAACAACTTGGAGTCGGCGTTGGCGCCGAGCTGGCCTGTCTCCTGAGTAAGGCAATGCCAGTAGATGATGGGGTGCCTGTAGACTCGAGTTCATTGTCGACTGCGCACACTCCGCTGCTGCAGGTAAGATCGTCTGAGCAATCGTCTTCAGTGGAGCAAGGCGCGCCTAATGATAATATTATTAGCCGTTCACACCATGGATGGGATATGGGGACAGTGAAAACTTCTAGGTGATGTAAGAGCGTACCTAGGCAATGACCTGGCCAGGAACAAGTTGGGGTGGGAGTGGGCGTAGGAGTTGAAGACGCCTGTCTCTTTGCCAGAATCGATGCGCTAGGTGCTGATATTGACGCTCCGGGAGAAGTAGTCTCAAGCTCCCGGTCAACAGCGCATGTCCCACTGGCACAAATAAGGTCGTCGGCGCAGTCATCGAGAGTGGAACAGGGCGCACCTGTATCAGAGTTTGTCAGCAAAGCCTCGATCAACTGGAGAAAATGATGATACACTAGGAATAGCGAAAGAACATACCGATGCAGTGACCCGGCCAAGAACAGCTCGGGCCCGTCGTAGCAGGCGATGAGCTACCGGGAGAAGCCGCGCTGCCAGTAACAGCAGCTGGCGGAGTGGCAGCCGAAGTAGGAGGAACAGCGGCGCTGGGAGGCACGGCTGCGTTAGGAGGGTTGACGATCGGAGGAGAAACAACAGAGGAAGCAGCAGCGCTAGAAGCTGAAGCACTAGACGGCGAAGCTGCGCTGGGAATGGCCGAACTAGGACCAGCAGCATTTGACGGCAGAACACTGGCAGGAGTGCCTACAATGGCAGAAGAGAGAGGCGGACTTGACGCACTGCTAGCAGGAGCGGGACTCGAAGAAAGACCAATTGGACTCGCTCCACTGGCGGCTGCGAGGTCCGAAGGCGAGATGTTGGGAGCGGCTCCACTACCACTACCAACACTTGGAGCGGAGGAACTGGAGGCCGCGGGACTTGATGAGGATCCGGGACTCGCAATGCTTGGAGATGCGGCACCGGAAGACGAGGCGCCCGGAGTAGCACTCCTGGTAGAAGCGGCGCTGGGCGAGGCGGCACTAGATGAGGCGGCACCAGAAGAAGCGACGCTCGGTGAGGCAGCACTAGATGAGGCAGCACCAGAAGAAGCGGCACCCGGCTCAACTTGTTTCTGACCCGTAATCCAGTCAGGCAATGTGCGCGGCAGAGGAGTGTCCCGCCCAGTCGCAACGGGTATCATCGCCTTCATGGTGGGAGGGCGAGTGCGCGTGCGCGGACGAGTCACGGTGTTGCTGCCGTCGCCGCCGCCCAGCCCAATATTCCTAACCAGAGAATTGACGAGTTTATCGCCCATCGATCGGAGGGCTCCAAAGTCAGTTATGTAGTTGTCATTCATAGCGGTGCCAGGGAGGACAGCGTTGGGGCCGAGGAAGAGGATATCTGGGATGCTGTTAGCTGATGTTTCGTATCGAGGCGTTGGGATCAACGTACAAGTAACATCCTGATCACTATGACCTGCAGCCCCGCTCAGACCCTCGTTAGGGAAACAGGTGCGAGCCATGAGCCAGGAGGCTTCGCCGGTTACTTCGGGGCTGTCGCCGTTCGTGTCGCCGAGGATTCCGTAGAACATTTTGCCGTTGCTGTAAGATTAGTACGTTTGACAATGATAGAGTAGTATGAAATACCATATAACAGCGGCGATATTATTTCCGGGAATGGCGGCCTCGTGCGCTTCCTGGTACTGCTCGGGAATGACGATGAATGGCACCTGATACTTGTCAGTTGGATGGCAGGGAGGCAGGGCGTGATCGTACCTCGTATGCCGCTAAAGCACCCCAGCTCGTCTCGGGCAGACCATCGGAGTTGCCCTATTTTGTTTAGTCACTTGTTTATAAGGGGCTTGAAGATCGTACGTACTCTGCATCTGAAGTCGATCCCATCGCAGTCGACGTCCATATCGGCAGTCCAGACAACGGCCGCGCCCTGATTCCGTTAGTACGCCACCAAGTGCAAAGTCCAGCGACCTACGTCATTGAACGACGCCCAGTCGCTGTAGATCGGTGATCGTTGAGAAGAGTCAGAGCTGATGCGGAATGAACCCCCACGGGCTGTCCTGCTCAAGCCCGAAGCCGCAGATTGCAGGGCAGCGACTGGCATGGTCGGCGCCGCTTTGAAGTAGTTCGCTGGAGGACCGCCATTTGGACGGTTGAAGTTAGCACCGCCGTTCTGGGCCAGTACTGAGGCGGAGAAGAAGGCAGCCGCCAGATGACGAAGACAGCTGCTGGGATACATCTTGAAGTCGCTTGACTGCGAGATGGTGAGGAGGGAACGGAGATCCTGACCGGTGAGAGATCTCAGGATCCATTTCGCAAATTCATCATTGTGTAGGTTTTACACGAAGATAGGCCCGAGCCTTGGGCAAACCTTGGAGTTGAGATGCGTCCAGTCGTGCGGTGCGGAAGCTTAAGCGCCAACTCAAAGTAGCTATTGCAGTACGCGTCCTGTGAGTCGCGCAAAAACTTCACTTATAATATAAATTACCGAGTGGGCCCTAGGGCAGGTATAATTCAATTGAACTAGAGTAGATGTTGCCGTCCAGTCGGGGGATATTCAAGATGATTGTCAAACAAAAGAAATGTAAGGGATAGAGAATCCAAGGCAGAGGGCAGATCAGTGCTCGCAGAGATTGAAGCCTCCCTGAGTGAACAAGTCATTTTCGGATGCTGACTTGAATGCTCTCTCATCCATCAGTTCCTGACGGTATGCCTTTGCCTCATCCATGGTCATTGGTGTAAAGTCTAGATTCTCGTGAATCATATCCTGTAGCTCGACGGGCAGCCGACTGGCCAGTACATTATTTGCAGCTTCGATCCAATTGTTACACCAGTCCTCTCTTTGTGGAGGAACGTTGGCAGTCGATATGATGCGCCGGTTGGGATCAATGAGGAAGAGCGCGAGAATCTTACGATGGCCCGGTTTGGAGCGATCAGCGAGCGAAAACGGAGAAACGCGATGCTGGAGGGTATTGGGGAAGGTCAACAACCGTCCAGTTCGACACGAGACTCCGCCTAACTCTTGAGTAATAGAGGAACCTTCATCGTGATAACCAGAATCGGGTTCGAAGCCAAACACGCGCAGGAACTGGAATTGTCCCTGTTCATACGACACGTCCTGGACATACTCCAAGTCAGCACGGTGGCGGAATGAAAGTGTATTCTCCGTGATGTTCTCGGAGTCGTAGTAGTAGATCGCTGTGGCGCAGATTCTCTCATTCTAGAAGGCCATTAGTATGGGCTCAAAGAGATGGAGGGAATAACACTATACCAGCTGCCCTTCCACGTGCCAGGATCCGCCTTCGTAATCAGGCTTCTCAGGCGTGAGCTCAATATTTGCTAATTTCACGATAATTTGAAGCCCTCTCTCACGAAAGCTGTTGCGCAAATCGACCAGCTCGGGAGGCTCGACCATTGGAGGCTGGAGCAGACGCGGATGGGGTTCAGGCTGCTTGGGTTGGCGTTTTTCGCTCCATTCCTCGTAGCGCCTGTCATTGGGGTCTGGGTTCCATTCGGGCTCGGGCTCCTCATCAGAGGGGTATTCGACAGTATGGTAGTGGATGCGCCGCGGTAGATCGTCGAGTCGAGTAATTGAAATGTTCCAGAGCGGAATCGTACGTGTGATAATCTGCTCAATAACATGATACAGGTCCATGTGCTTTGCCGGGTGCAGATTATTGATGTAGGAAACAATCCGACACTCTCCATCTTGTCCGATGTCCACATTGCAGGGAAGCCACTGGAACCGTTTGCTGTACTGTTCCACTCGTTCCGCTATTCTTCTCCCCGGGTAGGCCGGCCCTGTATCTTCGGCAATCTCTGCCACTGTACCTTGTCCGATGCTGCTGAAACAGTTGGCGACATCGATGGTTGAGTCGCGGAGGACTCTGGTTCGACCGTAAACGAGGGGGAAAAGTGACGGGTGCACCAAATCGACAACTTTGTCACCAGACCCAGGATGATAGTCCTTTTGTTCTTCCGAGACCTCCTCGAGCGGTTTCACTGCGTCTCGAAGCTTCTGCTGAAGATCCTGCGGGATGACCGTGTCCGACTTGACCACGCCTGGATCGAAGGCCGTGATGATACCGGTCTTTGCATACTGTTGAGCCTTCCAACGCAGCTCCTTTAAGATATATTCAACCATCAACTCAGACACATCCAGGCCGCTTTGCAGGATCTCGCTTTCCCATTTATCGGTGATCTCGTCCTTCCAGATCTGCGTGGATCAGTTTGGCACCCGAACCTAGTCGCAAGGGCCTACCTTTGTGGTCCAATCCGGCTTGTCAGTGATCGCCTCCATGATGCGCATCATAGTGAGCTCCCTCAGGGTAAAGATATAACTTTCTTTTTAGTCCCCTCTCCGCGAGCGAGAATGGCTGCTTGCTTACCCGCAATAACCGTCCTCAATATCATCCGTATCCAGCGCATGGGGGAATATATTGTCCAAGTTTCTCCGCTAGATTGTGTCAGGGATGCTGGAATCTCTTTGGGCGAATTGAAACATTACATCAGGCGAAAAGTGCACAGGCAGTGTTAAGCCTGGGAGATCAAAAGGAGTATTCTGAACCGAGGACATTGCGGTGACGGCGATAAGTATGCAGAGGAGCTTTGTGGAGGGCCGAGTGAGATGAACGCAATGGTGCAGTGATGAAAAGGCATCTCGAAGAATAGAGGGAAAGGGGGGCTTTATAGAAGCGAGATCGATGGATGATGGTGGAGTGCAAATCTCCGCGCAGGCAGATCCAGGCAGATCCGGGGACCAGGCACCAGGGTCGCCAAGAGATCAGGCGTTGAGGCATCAAGAACTGTCCAGGAAGGCATCCAGGCGCCAAGGCATCGCACGCCCTTTGACTTTCTCCAACCGACTGACTCACTCTCGTCTCCACGCTAAACTCGCAATTCCGCGTCTTTTAGCGATAAGCCCGTCGCTATCATGGATTTCCAGCCTTTAAATAATCCAGTCCGTCGCGGATTTTCTTTTCTGCTCCTCAGTTCAACCATCCACTCCGTTCCTCGCCCACAATGGCCACCGCGCTCGTTCCAATCAATCTCAACGACCGCTCCGAATGGGAGGAACTCCGCCAGCATCGCCTAGCCTGCGGATGGGACCACTCCCCAGAAAGCCTTGAGCTTTGGCGCCAGAAGCAGAAAGCCGGCCTGAAGTCGTTCTTCTGGGTCACCACCACCGCCGCCACAACTGACGACGGAGAGCAAACACCCATTCGTGCCGGCCACATTTCACTCGATGCCTACGCTGAGCCCGCAGATTGGGACCTCGCCAACGCAGACAAAACCAACCTCACCATCCAGACGTTCTTCATTCTGCCAAAATATCGCGCAGGAGGTCTCGGTCGCGCGGCGATGAAATTGGTCGAGGCGTTGGCAACAGAGGAACCGTACGGAAGCAAGAACTGCGAATACATCACGCTGAACTGCATGAGCAAAGCTCACTACTATGACGAGGTCTTGGGTCCGATTCTCAAGAGGACCCTGCCAATCTGCAACGAGGAGTGGTACGAGAAGCAGGGATACGTCGCTTGGAAGACGGAACCGCGGTACGAGGACAAATTGGATTTGCCCGACAGAGAGAAGATTATTTGGGACGCGACCTTTATGCGGAAGAAGGCGAACAGAGTTGAGGGTCAACCTTGACTGATGAAGTTTTGCGAGAGTCAGAAATATACTGCATTGTCCATGCTCATCGACCACTGTTATATCCGATGTAACATACCTTGCCACGTCAAAGGACCTGGATGGACACTCGTTCAAAGTCACGGGGTTTCTCTTTGCAAGTATCCGTACGGCTTTTTATGCTGATGACGTTGTGGGTTGGGTGCTCCTAAAGTCCCGTTCGGTACATTCCTGTCATGTATATATCTCCGACACTTGTCTCACCGCGCGACGTTCACCGATCGATAACCCCAATTCCCAAATCGTTGTATGGTAGCCAGGTATAAAATGTCCGATGCTAAACCATTAGATATTATCATCGTCGGTGCCGGGATATCCGGGCTGGCAGCAGCTGGGGCTCTCGGGAGACAGGGTCATCGAGTCGTGGTACGTCAGCTCCCATCTTGCTTGGTCAGTACTAAATCGAGCAGGTCCTGGAGAAGTCCAAGTTCAACAAAGAGACCGGCGCGGCAATAAACGCACCCCCCAACTGCACCGCCCTGCTGGAGTGGATGGATATTGACCTGCGGGACCATGGAGGGACACTGATGGAGGAAGTACGTTGCACATCATGGCTGGGGGCACTGCTGATTATGGTAGGCAATGCGGCACGACAATCATGGCTCGGTCAGATTCCACAGCGACTTGGGGCCTATTCGGAAAAATTGGCAAGCTGTAGATGTCCCTTGATGTATTCCAGACCTTGTCTAACCGTGCCCAGGAATACTTCCTCGTCCATAGATGCGACTTGCACGGTGCTCTGAAGAGGCAGGCATTGAAAACGGCGAAAATATATACCAGCTGCGACATTGTGTCTATCAACGCGACCACCAACCGTCCTTCAGTCACGCTCGACGACGGGCGCGTTTTTGTAGGAGACTTGTTGATCGGTGCAGACGGACTCCACGTAAGCGGCATCTGATTTTCACATTCGTCCAATACTGACGCCATGCAGTCAATTGTTCGCCCAAAAATCGCACCCAACGCACCCTCACCCACTCCCGCAGACAAATCCTGTTTCCGCTGGCTGCTGTCGGCAAGCGATATTCGAAAACTCAAGACCACGAAGCATGTAGTCCGAAGAGGGGCGCTGATGGAATGGGCAGAAGTCGGCAAAGCTCGGCTCGTGATGTACCCATGCTCGAACAACGAAGTGTTGAACCTTGTTGCATTCATGCCAACTGCTGAAGTAGGAAAACTGACTGAGGGTATGATCGATCTTCCCCGGGTCGAGACCAATAGCTGATCACCGACCTAGGGTACGAAGCGACCGGAAATAAGGGAGTTTTGACCACTGGCTTCGAGAGATTCTGCCCTGCCGTTCGAGAGCTCATCGATCGGGCCGGTGAGGATCTGAAGGTATGGCAGCTCTATAATATGGCAGCCCTTCCGCGCTATGTGATTGAACACGCGGCGCTGATCGGAGACGCGGCGCATCCCTTTCAGCCATGTACGTTATTCTTCGCGAAGTTGTTGGAAGAGCCTCAACTAAATTTACAGATTTGGGACAAGGAGGCGCCATGGCAATTGAAGATGCCGTATCGCTCGCGATCTTCCTACCGATGGGAACAGCAGCGAAAGACATTCCGCAGCGCCTGAAGCTCTACGAAAACACCCGACGGCCACGAGTCGAGCTGGCGCTACACTACACGGCGCTGAACGCCCGAAACGAGGATCAAGAAAGCATGGACCCGGAAACCGGTAAGTGCACTCCCGACCGGGCTACCGGCAACCTGGTCCCCGGTTGAGTCTCTGTTGACAAGCGGGCACTGACCTCGTCAGCGGCGGAGATCGCGAAAGTTATGGGCCAGATAGGCGCACATAATGAGGTGGCTCACTCAACAGCAGTCCTGCAAGAGGCTCTCACGCGCTGCGCGCCCGAGCGTCGAGCTGAATGTGACAGCAACGCATCCGAGCCAGAACTGGGAAACCGATTACCCACTGACCTCCCTTCCTCTCTCGGCCAAGCTTGACGTGACGAGGCCAAGCGATCTGTACATAGCCATTATCAATCGAATCCAGATTTCCAATATCCGCTCCTCCTGCTGATTAATGGCGTTAAGGGTCTTAACGCTGTATTCTCCGTGATGACTCCATGGCGGCGCTGCCTAATCTCCTGCTCTCTTGATTCGTGGAATCGGCCTCCCAAGCCCTGTCAGGCCATCCAGCTGGGAAACAACCAACGGTAAGAGCTAAGCTTGATCCGAGCAAGCGCCCATCCCTCGGATTCTTCCTCCCCATCAGCCCTCGTATCGCGGAGATAGTGGCACCAAATGACGAGCTCGGGGCAGACCATGGTCTAGGGAATTATCGGGCGCCAATCTCCGTTGGCCTTCGTGGCTGAGGAATGATTCATCGCCAGAGTTCTCTACCTTCTTCACTGTCAGCCCTATAAAAGCCTGGTAAGCAGGGTCCCAGTCTGACATTGCCAGGTTCCACTCCATCCTCACACTGTGCGACCTTACAAACCACCTGCAGCTCAACCATGGATATCGAGAAGCACCCCGGCCCCGACGAGAAGGAGGCTGCCTCGGCTACCGCCGCGGAACCAGAGTACCCTGGCTTTGCCAAAGTCGCCGTCATCATTTTGGGACTGTACCTCTCCGTCTTCCTTGTGGCGCTCGACCAGACGATCATCTCCGTTGCCATCCCCGAGATCACGAACCAGTTCAAGAGCATTGAGGATATTGCCTGGTATGGCAGTGCTTACTTCCTCACCTCGACGGCACTGCAGCCGTCCTATGGTCGCCTCTACAAGATCTTCAGTGTTTGTTCTCATCCGTTGCTCGTCTGGAGAGAGTGCCATGGTCTAACTGTCCCAGGCAAAATGGGCATTCCTGTGCGCCGTGTTCATCTTTGAGCTGGGGTCTTTGATCTGCGCTGTTGCACCATCGAGTACGGTGCTTATTGTTGGTCGCGCCGTTGCTGGTATTGGTGTCGCGGGTATCTTCTCCGGCGCGCTCGTTATCATTGCGCTGTGCGGTAGGTATCTCCCCAGGCTTTCGATGGACTTGTATCTGACAGATGCAGTACCTCTGCCTAAACGTCCTCTCGTCTTCGGAATGTTTGGGATGGTCTGGGGTATCGCAAGTATCGCTGGACCCTTGTTAGGTGGTGCTTTCACCGACTGTGTCTCGTGGAGGTGGTGCTTTTATATCAAGTGCGTTTTTCGTCCGTTGATGTCCTACATTCGACCACGTTCTAACATCACTATTCCAGCCTTCCAATCGGCGGATTATCCATGGCCATAATAGTTTTCATCCTGCAACTCCCTGAGCAAAACCAATCCAGCAAAGGCACGCCGATCCTGGGCCGCATCAAACAACTCGATTTCATAGGCGCCGCCTTGCTAATCCCCTGCATCATCTGCCTACTCCTGGCTCTGCAATGGGGCGGCAATAAATACGCCTGGAGCAACGGCCGCATAATCGGCCTCTTCATCACCTTCGGCGTCCTCGTCATCCTAACAGTCTATTCTCAAATCAAGCTCGGCGATCGCGCAACACTCCCACCACGCATAATGAAGCAGCGCTCCGTCATTGCCTCAACGGCCTACGCCCTCTTCTTCGGTGGCTCGTTTTTCGTTCTCGTCTACTACCTCCCCATCTTCTTCCAGAGCGTCCGCGGCTCATCCGCAATGACATCAGGGATCCAGCTTCTCCCGCTTATGCTAGCAACCGTCGTTTCGTCTATTCTAGCGGGAATCCTCGTTACAGTCTTCGGCTACTACACCCCTTTCTTGATCGGTAGTACTGCGATCGCATCTATCGGCGCCGGCCTCGTTACTCTGTATTCAATCGACATTTCCTCGGGAAAGTGGATTGGCTACCAGATTCTCCTTGGTGCCGGTGTGGGCGCTGGCTTCCAGATCCCCATGACGGCCGTCCAGACTACCCTCAAAGCAGACGATATCCCGCAGGGTACGGCTGCGGTGGTGTTCTTCCAGACACTCGGTGGGGCTCTTTTCATTGCGGTTGCGCAGTCGCTCTTCCAGAATGGTCTTATCGAGGGTGTAGCGAAGCATGCACCTAGCGTTGACCCCAGCAAGATTGTTGAGGCTGGCGCGACGGAGATGAGACACGTTCTTGAAGACCTCGGACAAACAGACCAATTGCGCAACGTTATTCTGGCCTTTTTGGATGGGCTGAAGGATACGTATAGACTCAGTCTTGCGTTGTTCCTAGCGGCGTTTGTGGTTTCCTGCTTATTTGAGTGGAGGAGTGTCAAGGAGGGCGAAGGTTCTGGGGAAGGGGGTGTTCCTGCTCTTTGAAATTCTTTTTGTGGAGGAATCGTTGGAAAAGCCTTAGTTCTACCTAATATTGCCTATATAATCAGTGTGTACGATAGATGATAATAGAACATGCCATTCTCTCCCCTCAGATGCATGTGATTCTGCTTGGGGCTTCTTCCAGAACTCCAGGTATGCGAGCACGTGTCCTTGGGCCTCCAATGCTTGTTCCTGTGCGGACTGCCCTATACTATTGTAACCTCTGCCTGGATCTAATTTTGTATGGGTGCATCATCACCTTTTCACTGTGTCTCGTAAGGCACAATCTTACCACCTTCTTACCACCTTCGTGTTCTTCTATTGCTTATAAAGAGCGCCCACACTGCGATTAATATTCATTATCCATAGTGTGATAGTGCAAGACGCGTGATAGACATGTGCTGAGGCCGGATCATTGCATAACGCTCACAGCAAGGTACTGAAAATACACCGCAACCTGGACGGGGGGTTCAAGTAGGACGTAAAACCGGGCTACCAGCTTCAACCGTCACCACCAATCTCCGTCCAACTCCATTCAGCCTGAAGGAAATCCTCAGTACATGCCAGGTCTCCGCTCATTCCAAGTAAAATGATCTATCCGATTCTCCTATGCCTTCTTGGCCTAGTCGCCAGCTCTGCCATTGCCTCCACTAGCAACGCGTCTCCTCACGCCCCCCTCGCCCACTTGACTTTCACAAATATATCTTGCTCTGAACTCGCCGACTTTACCGCCAACGTTGCTACGGTCACTGAACTCAAGACTTCCATACTCGCACGCACGCCGGCCAATCTCCTCGCGGAGGTCCAGCCAGCACTAGAAGCCATTGAGATCCATGTCACCACCTACCAAGACCTGATACATCAATCGAGTCCGAAGGCTTGCCCAGGAACAAGAGCAGCTCGCGGCGTGAATGCCAGCAACGTGGAGAGCAGAGTGCATGGCAACCAGCCGCGAACCCCTGGTAGCTTACAGTCGCGCCAGATGCAGGAGGTGTGCGATATGATGACGCGACTTGAGAATGCGCTCGAGCTTTTGCAGCTTCCGGCTGAGCTGCTGATTGAGCGATTGAAGCAGCTTATGAGGTGTCGTTAGTGGATGGATTAGGCATTAGGGAGGATCCGAGTTGCAGGGTTGGTTATGACATAATGTTAGCCTTAGTTAAAAGCAGCGGTTGTGGAGAGGCGATTCAACATCAGGTTACCAAGGTTGTTCTATATCTTGACTCTTTCCTCGCTCTTCCCAGCACATATTGTAGCTCTAGCAGTTAGTACAAAGACCAGCGGCACTGTCATTATCAACACAGCCCTAACCCTACCTCGGAATCACCATAGTTGAAGGTTGAAATGGACATTGATCCGAAGGAACCTGTTTGCGTACAGGCAGTTTGGTTCCACATGTCCTGAGCGGCATGACGGCCCCCTTCCTTGCATTATGTGGGCTAACACATCCCGTCTCTGTGTATCAGAAGTCTCAAAGGTACTGTTGTATGGTATGAACTGGCAAGGATGCCATATCTAGTGCACCTAAGCTTTGCATAAATATACCGCAGACCACGTTGCACAAAGGGTGCATTGGACTCTATACACGGGTAGCATGACAACTTCAACCAGGTAGCTATCAGTCAATCCAGTCAACGCTCTTTGCTCCTGGAATTAACAGCAATATAGGCTGGAAAGTACCGCGAACAAGCCAGGCCGGCCTGCGACCACCCGAGCAGGTACCATGCCGCGGCAATAGACACAAATTCACCGCGATTCTCTGCGTCAGACTGAGTGCCCCAGGGCGAGCAGATACCTATAAAGCAGGTCTCTTGAGACTCGAGTTTGCTCTCTATATCCTCATCCGTTTGAAGTCTTCTCAGCAAACACTATAACCTATCTCCAAATACCGCAGTCTGCAACAATGAAGTTCTTCTCCAGCCCTCTCTGCCTCCTCCCCCTACTCGCCGGCGTGAACCATGCCTCCCCATCCAACCCATCCATCTCCCTCACGCGCATCTCAATGCCCTGCCCGGACCTCGCGGTCTTCAACTCCCAAATGAGGGCCCTGATGAATCTAACTGCGCCCGCCGGAACCCCCCAGTCGATCCTCCCTCAAGTCAACACCCGACTCGCTGCCATGGAGTCATTCAGCGCGGGATACATGGACCTCGTCAACGCGTTCAGCCCGGTCTACTGCGCAGCGAATACCAACAACAACGTCACGGTCATGAATGCGCAGATGCATGTGGGAACGGGTAACCACACCAGCCTGGTGACCCGCCAGGACATGCGCGGTGTTCTGGAGTCCATCTGCACGGTTCTCGAATCTGTGGAGCATATGCTTGAGGAGGTCATAGCGCCGATTGCGGGCTTCCTTGATTCCGTGGAGGATGCGATTGGATGTGGCGTGTTGAGTTCTGCGGTTGTTAGGCCGACGCCTACGCCGGTCAGGGGGTCTGGTTGGAGGTCCTTCTAGTTTGGTCGTTGGAGTAGGATTGTACCTAGAGCACTCTGTGAGAAATGTGTGTACTGGGAAGTTTGTGGGGTTGAAAGCCCGGTGTTTATGTGCTGAAGTTGGTGGAATTGCGCCGAAGGAGTTCCTGTGGCCACGTCAAGGCTGAATTACAAATGGAATATCGATTGATGATGTGCTTTGGTATACTCTGCTGTACTCCACCCTAGCTAGCGCCAGCTCAGGTACTGGGCCACCATGTAAACTCTGCAGTTCCTGAACAGTGTCATTTCCTCCGGTAAGGAAAGCCCTGGGAATGGAGGCATATCATTGACCGGGCCAGAGCTCAATGTAACCCACGGGGCCCAAGGAACCCATGCCTTGATCAGATACCTAGAGAATACTCCGTAGCTACAAACAGCGCAGGTCGGAATATTGTTGTCTACCCCGGGGCAGGTACATATACGGCGCTATAATGCTCCCAACGGGAACTTTCCCAAGTACCTGTACCCATTCTACCCAGGAAAGATGGTTCCACTTCTTGCACTCGCACTCCTCCCACTACTATCAACTTCGAGCTATGCCGCCTCCTTGCCCCCGGCCGCTTCTCTGGCACCTATTTCAATCCCGTGCTCGGAGCTAGCCCTCTTCAACACTCAGATTAACTCTGTGCTGGCCGGTCTTGTCCCGCCACCCGGCACACCCAATGCCGTCCTTCCAGACCTTGAGCCCGGCCTCGCCGCAATCGGGTTTTTCGTCAACGGGTATAGAGAGATGGTCAACAGGTTCAGTCCTACTCTCTGCACCACAAAACCCGAGACCATCAACAGCACCCAGATCATGAACAGCACCGAGACCATGTACACCACCAAGGCCATGAACAGCACCAAGGCCATGAACAGCACCAAGGCCATCAACAGCACCGACACCATGAGCACCTTGAACAGCCTGCAAACCCGTCAGACCTCGCCCGACCCGATCGCGATTGCGTGCCTGGTCCTGAGTATCGTTGAACAGGCGCTTTCCGTCCCGTTGCCGGAGGTCGCGGCTATCTTACATCTTGTCCAGCAGGGCCTGGGATGCAGCTCGGGCAATGGTACCGATTTCGCGGTTCCTGATGCACAGGGAGAGGTTGTTTAACTGTGTCGGGGAGGGGGTGATTTTGTCTATGGCTGGAGACTATGTATGGTACATGGCAGTAAGATCTATCTCTCGCGCCTTGATGGCCGGGAAGAGAAGGTCTATTTGATTGTTGCGTTAGTTAATGTATCCATTAATGGAGCCTACGGCTATCAATAAAATTCCAAACCATCCTCTCTGACTCGATATCCTCTGTAAATGCTTAGGTTGTAGGCCAAATGCAATCCCACAATGCCCTGTTATACATTTACCCAGGCTACGGATATAGTCCTGCACCAGCCATGGACGTCGTCACCGCTTAATGGGCGACAAACCTATCTTATCTAACGAGGGCCTGAACTTCACCCGGAGCTGAAAGTAGCCAGACCAGCCGTAGCTCTGATGACGCCGTTCTCGCTTCGATCCTTGCCCTGTACGCCTTTTGGCCCCATTCACTTGCTACAGTGAACGAACTGGATTATAGAATATATCACGATAAGGCTCGTATTGTATGTAGGGCCAGGCCATGACCGAAATCAGAATATCATCAAATACCTGGCTGCCCAACCATTCACATGCATTCGGGCATAAGAACATGCCCTCACGGTCATCAATATTCATAGCACCCAACGTATCCAGCCCATGATTCAAGGCTCTGTTGGCACTCCAGGTTCAGGTCTTTCCGTCCGACTATCATGGATCGGTTTGATCTATCTCATGCCTGCAGTCTTCCCCTCACCAACAGTCACCAGTTTCATTGCAGCAAGAACCCCTATCATTTCCATGTATTCAAGTAGCTATGATGTTTCTGTCCTCTCCTTAAATTCCGGAAGAGCCTTACTTACGATTTAAGTATCAGCCCTGGTTAGCATTTATGAGTAAATCGTCTATCAACGGGATGATTGTGCGTCTTCGCCATGAGAGAATGACCCATGTCTAAATACTATGCCTTGCGATCATGATGGTTATTGAATGGCCTCCTCGACTGCTCCGCCATGTGATTCGAGGAATGAGCATACAATCTTTCAACCAAAGCTGCTCAAAAAGACACACACCCTCGGCCTGACTGTTTCTTCCCGTAACTCGTGTCAGAGCATTGGCCTAGCTCCTCTCAACCTATGTTCTAGCAAAATGCATCCTTGCAGCTGCCTGGAAACCATACACAGGCTTGGGGAAATAGCTCGTCCCCGCTCGGAAGACAGTCAGTTTAACACATAGTCTGTGATCACGGGTAGTCTTGCTGCTTCTGAGAGATAATGAGGTATGCTCTTTTTCCAGAATCGGCCGCTTGATATCAATACTTCGTTAAACTCAGTCATTCCTACACTTGAACTTGTTAGCAATTGAACAGCTCTGGGTCCTAGACATTCTCATACCAGAAGCTAGGTACCCATTGCCGATAGAGACCGGACAAGCCCGCCTGCTCCATGGTCCCCATGCATCACGAAAGGTTCTAGATCATCACTACCGTTTCAGGAGAGCAGCCTCGTGGACTCATCCGGTCGAGGCCCGGTTCCGCTACAGCCCCTGCACAACATGCGTCGAGTGCACGTTGCACTACGTCCGCTCAGCGTAACCCAGCGCTGTGAGAACATAGTATATCTATAGAAATACACCGTAACGGATAGCTCACATGCATACCCCAATGCTTATCCTATTGCCTCCCTGTCTACCAAGCCAACCTACCTACTTTTAGGGCCCATGCCACCAGCGTTTCCCACCCCAGTACATACCATCCCTACCACTGCCAAACCATCTACCATAATCCAATTTCATCCACCAGCAGCAATGCATACCTCCTCTCTTAGCCACCTCTCTCTCTCGCTGTTAGCAGCCTCCACGGCCATCTGGACTCCGTCCACCCTCGCAGCCCCAGTCCAAGAGCCCGCCCAAGCGCTCTCCCTCGCCCTCGCGCCGCTCTCAATGTCCTGCGCGGACCTCACTGCCTTCAACGCCGCGCTTTCAACCCTCACGAGCCTCTCTGCGCCACCCGAGACCCCTGACTCCCAGCTGCCTGAACTGCAGACCCAGCTCGCGGCCGTATCCTCCCTTGCCGCGGGCTACAGGGACTTCGCGAACGCTTTCAACCCGAGCAACTGCGCCCCGGGATTGGCCGAGTCTGCCCGCCTGAGCTCCCGCCAGGACGCCCCCGGCGGTCCTGGCCCAGTGAGGCTGATCTGTGACGTTGTGTATCTCCCGGGTCTTCCTCCAATACTGGTTGACGCTGTGGACGACGCTTTGGGCTGTGAGTATGAGGAGGAGTAGACTCTGCTGTTCCTAGTCCACCGAGCGGGGGTGGGGAGGTGCAAAGGTGGTGATCTGCGGACGCGGTGACTATGGTGCCTTGGCCTTTTTGTGTTGCGGGTGAGGCGAGAATCAACTTCTCGTGGAGTACATGTTGCCGAATATATGCGGGATAGTTATGTTATAGGGCGATACCTAGGCTGCGGATGGCTCAACGCTGGTTAGACGGAAATCCCATCATGATCTACTTCCATGCCCATTTCCTAGGATAGGCATCGTTAGGCAAAGAATGGATATTGCAGTGCTTGCGTGCTGCACATACCACTCTGCAGTTCTGTTACCTACGTCGCTCTGTGGAGGCGTCGGTATGGATATGATACTATCCAAAGTACTGGTAGTCTTTTGCGTTGTCAATAGCAACGCCCTGTATTGGGCCCTGGACAGCGTTTGCTATGGGGCTGAGGTCCATCCGAATATCCCGCGTCACCCTAGCCCTGGGCTTCTAGCTTTGCATGCCCAATCACTGTCCTCTCACATGCCCGCATACGTCCAGGACATGCCTCTTGTACTGCTATGTAATTGTGGACCGGTGTCATAGTCCACGGGTGGATCACATCTCACCATCACCTTGTTCACCTAGTACCTGTGGCATGTATGTTGTTCATATACTTTGCTATATTGTTTGCAACACTATGGTAGGTTCAGGAATTGCTACCAGCTTATGTGATTATCCCGCATTCGGCACTGGCAGAGGGTCACATGCAGCATGTGGACTAGATGCCATGTCACTGGTTAATTGATAAACACGTAGTTTCACTATATTCTCCGCCAGTTACGCAGTTACCAATTGCCACAGTAACTGCAAGCTTCCCCCGGGGTGTAAGCTCGACTCTCCTTCTTGCCTAGTCGATGCAAGTGCAGCACACAGCCTGTGCTTCTGTTCCAATCCACGGCGAATATGAATTGTCTCGACCGGTTCTAAAAGCCCTGCGTGTAGCACCCTAGATGACAGAGGCAGAGGCCAGGACTACATGGAACAGGACAACACCAGCCTCTGAAATACACCGCGACCATGCTCCCAGAGATGTCAATCCAGGGAAATACACCGCATCCATCGTCCGCTTGGATCGAGCCAATCTAAGATATTTAAGACACTGCCTCCCCTCTTTGTCCTGCAGCGTTCATACGCAACATCTCGCGTGCCACAAACCATCACCCGCAGAACACCAATTCAGCAGCTCACATCCAACAAGCTACATTGCAAAAATGAAGCTCCTCTCCGCCCATCTGCTCCTCCCCTTCCTGGCCGTGGCCATTGCCGCTCCCAGCATGCTCCCCACCTCACCAAAGGCATGCACCGACCTCACTGCCTTCAACACAGCCATAACCCCCCTCCTCAACATCTCCCTACCCCCCGAGACCCCCGAGGTCCTCCTCTCAGACCTCCAGCCGCGCATAGCCGCCCTCTCCACCTTCATGCAAGGATACAAAGATCTTATGACAACATTCGTCGATGCGACCTGCACTGATACCGCCGGGAATATTGCCCGTCTTCGCTCGCGGCAGGGCGGTGAAATGACCTGCTCGATGCTGGAGGAGATGGCCCAGGCCCAATCTGAGGCTCAAGGTCTTGGGTCACAAGCCATGGCTGAGGCTACGGACGCGTTTATGGAGGGTACTAACGCGCAGGGGCAAGCCATGGCCCAGGCTATTGAAGACATGCAGAGTGCGGCTGGATGTTAGCTGGATTGTACGGACATTGGCATCGGGGCTGGTAGAGGTGGGAGGAAGCTACTATATCTTCGTTGGTCTGGCAGTCTCGACATGACGCGCTGCAGGGCTTGCCTTTATTCTTCTTGCTAGTTGACGTCGAAGCTGTGGCTCCTTCGATGTTCGATGCGCCGTCAAGTGTTCTTTACCTTGGTTTGTGGACTCAAATATCTGACAACTGCTCCTGCTGGATTTCGGGTTTGCTCTTTGGTCCCGATTGTGGCACGCTGCAGTTGCATATTGTTCTTTCGATGAAGGGGACGTCGCTGATGCTTCTCACACCCTGTGTCGAACGAAGAGACGTTGGTTGGGCCGCAGTGGGTATTCAACATGTCCATGCTTTTAACCTAGATAACCATAGCGAGTTATTATATGATGCTTGCTTGAATGTAAATCCCCTGCGTAATGATGTTCAAAGCTCCGCTAGCATTCCTGTAGCAAATCTGTCGGTATAAGTATACCGGCATAGGTCCGCCCGGCGGCATCTCAGAGAATTAATAGCAGGGAAGAATACCCATCCATGCACGTCCGCTCTATTGCTATGGCCGAGAAAAATAAGAAAGTAAATTGCATATATGAGTTCCAGGTCTGAGTTCTTATATCCATCCCCGATTCAAAATACCCAATCCCCCACCTCCAGCAGAAGACTCCCTATTTAAAAAAAAAAAAAAAAAAAAAGAAAGAAAAAGAAATCAATCCTCCAGCGTCCTCACAATAACCGTATCAACCACATGCAAATCCCTATGGAATTTACACTCCTTATGCAAGCAGTACTCGCCATACGCGCACCGATGGCCCGAAATACAATCAACGTCGCGGCAATTCAACCCATTAAAGCACGGGCTCGAGCGCGCAATGTACATCAAATCATTTAGCTCCTGCTTGCTCAGCTCGGCGCCGTGCTCGTGGTTGCAGCTCCCGTATGTCGCGAGGTTATGGCAGTATCCGAGCAGGTGGTACTGGTTGCAGAACTTGCGGCGCTTCAGCGCGGCGACGCCTTCCTTGGAGGAGGTCTTGATGGGGCTGTCGACGCGCTGGTTGCGGGCGTTTAGGCAGACGAGGATGCGGGGTTTGGTCTTTGCTTTAGGGGTTGTGGTTGTGGTTGATGGCGGTGGGGTGGCGGGCGCGGTCTTTGCGGCGGAGGCCCAGTTTGTTAATAGAGGTGCGGGGCCTGGGACTGGAGCTGGAGCTGGGCCTGGAGCAGAAGCCGGGGCAGGCGTGGGTGAGGGCGTCGCCGCTGTGGTTGGGATCTCTTGGACGATGGGAGGCGGGAACTTGACGGGTCTTTCGATCTTGGATGACATGAAGACGTCGGGGAAAGATGTTATCTCAAATGTTGCGGCTAGTTCGGCCATCTCGCGGGGGAACGGGGGCCCCTGGACGAGGGAAATACGGGACGAGCCGCGATGGGGCCCCAGAACACGCGCATAGCCGCTGTCTGCGGAGGCGCAGAATATAATGCGCTGGCAGTGGATATTGTTAAGGGCTTGGTCGAAAAGGCCTATTTCCGGTATTAGTCGGCTGGCTTGGACGAAGGGGGGGACTGACCTTTGATTTTGACATCAGCGCACTCTTTCCCATCACCTGAATCAATAAAGTCACACAGCGGGCTCTCCATATTGAACCCGCGGATAAAATTAGATAGATCCTCGCCCGGCCTAAGGATATTGACTTCCCGGTAGACTTTGGTGAGGCCCAGCACATTGGCATACACACGGATATTGTAGCTAATGTTCGGGCTGGCCTCAGGGTCGATCTGTTTGATATGGTCTTTAACTGCATGGATCAGAGCTCGAGCGGCGTCATGTCCGCCGTTCTTGCCGTCTTGTATGAATCGTTCCAAAAACTGGTTGTGTTAGCAGGATGGGCTAAGAGAATATCGGGCACATACATTCATCCCGTCTCCATCAACTAACACAGATACGGAACTCAATTTACGCTATTGATGTCAATATCACGGTCATAAAGGAGCTTGAGAATGAACTCACCTTGTCAGAAACTAAAGCATCTCTCTCAGCCAGATACCGACGACTATCATCTCTGTACGAAATGGTAGCCCTCTTCTGGGCATCAACCTCATCTCTCTCACTTTCAAGTTTCAGCTCAAGGTCTTTAATGTAGTCAAAGAGGCTCTGCGTCGTAATGTCAGCTGTAGGCACGGTCGGGCAGTTGCAGACAACGGACCGCGATAATTTCATCCTTGCTGCTTTCAGCTTTGCAGAGCTCATCGTACTGACGCTTGAGGGCTGTTGGGTCAATCATATTGAGTTACTAGTACCAGATATTGAGCCGTTCGACAGGAGCGCGACGGTGTTGGCGTTGGAAGAACTGGAGAATTGAGGAATCCAGAATTCGCGCTTTGTTGATCGAGCTAGGCCGGATCGGGCAGGTGGTCACGTGAAAGCCCCCGCAGTCTTGGCGCACGGCTTCCCACCACAGGTAGCGTGAATATATATTTTGGCAGAAGGAAAGAAAAGAAGGGAAGAGAAAGGGCGCAATGGGAGGTGGATATAGAGCTCTCAAACAAGAGTGAGAGCAAAGCACGGTCTGCGGCAGCCATATCTGCATTTCTGCTTCACGGGCGAGCTGCGCCACATCAACCAGGGTCTGGAGGTCCATCACAGCCAATGCCCGCTTTGCTGGGCACCGCCGCCATCGTATGCATCAGAGGTTGTTACTCCGCAGGAACGAACTAGCCACTCCTGGAGGTCCCAATGTGCTACCCATCCTAGCTCTGCTATCCTTCGCGTACAGGAACACCCCCGGCCGAATTCAAGGCGGACCTGGACCCCCATCCAATCAACACATCGCGCAGTTACGGATCCATGTGTTGGGTTTGGAGACAAGGCTGACTGCCAACACCCTTGAATTCGCTGGTAGCCTGGTGTCTACGCTACACATACCTATGCCATCGACTAGGCTGTGTCTTCGGTGCCTACCATATGAATGGTGGATACCCCGTTTGAAGCAATGCTTTTCCATGTGTATACTGCGGAACATCAAAGCTGCGCCATTGTCGACAGCGCTCGATTGGGGTAAACAATTTTAGTAAGTAGTCACCACCTCCACTGCCGCCGAGGCATCTTGAACTGCGCCGTGCTTTTGGTTCTCATGCATACGATGTCCCGAGCGCGATATATACCATCATACTTTGAATGCCTATGTCGCTCCAATGACCCGCATCGGCTCTTATCGAAGGTTGCATCGGCGCGGCGCGGATAATTCCAATCCATGGGATTTGTAAACTTGCCTTCGCGGCGTGTGTAGCTGAAGTCGACCAGTGCCATAAGTATGTACTCCCTACGCTCCCATCCGGGACATAGGGCAATCCGTGGCACGTGATTCCCAGCGGCGCAAAGCACGGCGTTAAGGAGCGGTGTCCGATGCAAGAGAATCCTGCGGCGTTGAATGAATCTGAGCCCATTCTATATGCATAGAAGACTGCTCATATAGTCGGAGAGCGCCCTATTCCCCGGGCGAGGCCTGGAAACACCAGGGTACGGAGATAAGCTGCGGAGAGCAGATCCCAGTCAGCGGCGGGGATATAAATTCCGCGCACGTTCCTGATCCATCCCTGTCGAGATATCGAGTAAGGTCTCTACCATGCCTAGAGTCTGGTTCATTACCGGCTGCTCCTCCGGGTTCGGCCGCGAGATTGCGATCGCCGCTGCGAAGAACAACGACACCGTGGTTGCTACCTCGCGCGATGCCTCCAAGCTCGCGGACCTACTGCCGTTGGGAATCACCCCCAAGGCGCTTGATATCACAGGAGGTGACGCGGAGATTAAGGCCATTGTCGATGATGTCGAGTCCACCGTTGGACCCATCGACGTCCTCGTCAACAACGCAGGCTATATCCTCGAGGGCGCGGTTGAAGAGTGCAGGTACGACGTCCACCCACGTCTCCAAGACCACCCCTGACCCTGACAACATCCCAATCCAGCGACGAAGAAATCCTCACGCACTTCGATGTCAACGTCTTCAGCCAAATCCGGCTCCTCCGCGCAATCCTGCCGTCAATGCGCGCCCGGAAATCAGGCGTAATCGCCAACATCGGCTCGATCGCCGGATGGAGCGGCCACCCCGCAGCAGGCTTCTACTGCGCCTCAAAAGCCGCGGTGGCGATGTACACCGAGGCTCTGCGCGCTGAACTCGCCCCGCTGAATATCGACGTGACGTGCATCGAGCCGGGGTATTTCCGCACCAACTTTCTGAGCATGAGTGGCGGGCACAAGGTTACTGCGTCAAATCGCATCCCTGACCTCCATGCTGGGACGCAGGCGAATCGTGATGCGTTGGTCGCGTATAGTGGGTATCAGCCTGGGGATCCGGCTAAGGGGGCTAGGGTCATTGTTGAGGCTTTGACGAAGTCGGGGCGTTGTGAGGGGCGCACGGTGCCGGCGAGGTTGGCGTTGGGGCGGGATGCGGTTGAGTTCATTGGGGCGTGTTTGGAGCGGGAGAGGGAGATGTTGGATAGTTGGAAGGAGATTATTGCTTCCACGGATTGCGATGATGTTCTGAATACCTAAGAATTGTCGTTTGCTGCGAGTATGCTGGAATATAATAAGATACGATTGCTACAACTAGGTACGTCGATAAGGTCACATTCCAACAATACAAGTAAGATGGGGTCAAATAGGGCAATCTAGGCAAGTCTACCATAGAATGTCAGAGGGTATATTTGCGATATCCATGTCTTTAGGGCATGTCGTGATCCTCGGCAAGTCTCCAGAAACAACGTCATCCGATAAAACTACCTCGCCTTGAGATATGTGATATAACAGCTCTGGATAACGAGCAGGGCTTCCACGCCGTACATGGCATTGCTAGCTTTGCGCTCACACCTTTCCACTGCGGCTGCGTCGGCGAACATCACGCACACCTTGTAGGACATGTACTAGAATGTGAATATGCCGATGATAAATCTGGAGCGCTTCGAAAGTCAGTGGATATATAGCCTGGATTCCTGGAGGCGAAGGGAGTAAGAGCAGCATACAGGAAAAGGTGCCGCGAAATGGGCGCATAAATGTATTGCACATAGAGGTTCTGGGGGTCGCCGTTGCTTGTGGAGAGCGGTCTCTCTACATCAGCATCCGACCGGGCGGATTCCGTGTCCTTGCTGGACGAGCGGGTGGGTTCGTCATTGCGACTGCGAAGGTGAATAGGTGCTATGCTTCCAGGAATGGGGAGATAATGGCGAAAAGGGTTGCGGTAGGAAAGAATGCACTCCAAGTTAGATGCCCTGGGGTCAAGTAAAGGATGAGACGGAGATTTCTAGGCTGCCATTTTGCCAGATCGATGTGGACCGTGTCTCACTCCCTACTAGACTAATCTAGTAGCAGGGGCGGCTGGAACCGACTCATTTCCACGCCTGCATCTCCAATTTGCTCCGTAATCAGGGCTACAAGGGGACCGTCTAGGTAGCCTCAAGCTCGGATGCCGTCCGATCAGGGCCGGACTGCCGGACACAGTCCTTGCCTCCTGGCTCACGACTGCCTAGACTCAAGTAAGTCAGGCAAATGTCCATTGCTATGTGCCGACAAGGTGTATGGTAGTTACCGTTACCTGCCAATAATAAGCTTAGGAACTAGATACTTTGACAACGGACTATAGAGAGGATGCAACAGCTTATAAGTGCGTTCCACACCAAGTGCAAGAAGGTAAACCATAAATGTCGGACGCCCGGAGGGCCGGCGCCCGGGACGCGCCTATCCTAATTAGGACTAGCGCAGCACGTGATAGTTAAGGTTTTTTTATAACTTACCGCTTGCTATATATAAATAATTTAAAGGTTTACTATAAGTAATACTATTAATTAGTTATTAGGTTATAAGCCCTTAAACTTTTTTAATTACTTTAAAATACTATTTAAAACTTTTTTTAAGTACTTTTATAAGCTTTAAAGCTTGTAATAAGCGTTATTATATACTTTTTTTACCTTTTTAAAATATAATTTTTAATACCTATTATTTATAAATTAATAAAACTATAATTTTTTAACTAATTAAAACTTAATATTTAATATAGCCAAGCCTTAATAAGTTATTTTTTTTATAAAAATACTTAATCCTATTATAGGGATGCTTTAGCAAGTAACTTAGTTAATAAATTCCCCTAATTTCTTACTTAAACAGGTATATTATAAGCACTACCTACTTAGGGTTATAATTCTTACTATTATATACTTACTTAAAATTAAACTTTTAAGCTAAATTAATTATAATAAATAGTTTAATTAAGTAAAAAAATATTTACAAGCCCTACGCCTTTTTTAATTAATTAATTTCTTGCTTGCTAGGCCTCCTAAAAATAAGCTATACTAAAAATAATAAAAAAATTACTTAATACTTATTATTAATTAGCTCCTGGGCTAAGTTAGCTATAAAATTTATATTAAAGTTATAAAATCCCTATATTTAATAAAGTATATTAATAAGATATTTAATATAATTTACTAGATTATTATTAAATAAGGTGTACCTTAAATTACTAAGGCAGTGCTTAGTATTATTAATATATATAAAAACTAGTTTTTTATTACTTTTAAGTTTATTATAGTATCTATAACTATATAAAATATTATTAAAAATTTATATATTATTATTAAATTTAGTATTACCATGCTATTAGTTTTTTAAAAAATTTATAATAATTTTAAAATATAGGCTATACTTTAATAATTATTTTTAATTAATAAAATTTTAAAAAATTATAGCAAAAATAACCTAAAATAATTATATAAAAATATTATAACTAAAACTAAAATAATTATTTTACTTACCGCCGCGGCCCCGCTTTTAAAAAAGTAAAAAAAATAGGTTTATTATAAAAAACCTTATATTAAAGCGCTTACTAGCCCTTTAAATAATATAAATAAAAAAAATAAGCTAATTAAATAAAATAAGGGGATAATAAGGTTTATTTTTATAAATATTATAAACATGGCAGCTATTTTTAAAAAAACTATTATTATTTAAACCCTTAACTTTAACCTAATAATTAAATTAAGCTTTTTAAAATATAAGTATTATACCTAAATAAAACTAGTATAAAGCTATAAGCTATAACTTTATATAATAATAATAAATTTAATAATTATAACTTTAAATATAATAAATTAAAACCTAAAATTAGCCCTAAATTCTTGGCTATACCTACTTTTATTATAACTATTAAACTAATAAAGTGGCTTATAAATATAAAATTAGCTAAGTTTATTTTTTTTAAGCACTTTAACTTTAAAAACTATATAAAATATAGCTTAAACTACTTAGGGTACTTATATAAAATATCTAGCAAAGTAATTAAGCGTGCTAAAGGTTATAAAATACTAATTATTATTATAAAGGGTGTAAATAATATATATAAAAAAATTAGGATTTATAAATATCACGCGCCTAAGGCTCTAATTTATTTATTATTTATTAAAAGGTTAAAAAAAATGCTTGGTATATAGTATTATAAAAAAATAATATTTTTATTAACTTAAATAAAATTATTATAAGGCAAGCTTATATATACCATAATATTTTTTTTTTAAAGTTTATATTTAAATAATATTTTTAATTAATTATAATTAATATAAATTTACTTTACAAGCGCTTTAGCCACGTGGGTATTCCTAAACTTTATATTATAGCCTAGGTAAAAAGTCTTAATATAAATATTATAAACTAATTAAATTACTTTACTTACCTTAAAGCTAAATTTTATAAAATATTATTCTAGCCCGTCCCGCGGGAAGTAAATTTAGGAAAACTATAATATATAAATATATAACCTATTTAACTAACTAAAATTAGTAATTTTAACTACTACCTTATAATTATTAATAATACCACCTAATTAGCCGCGGTATACTATATTAAAAAAAAAGTATTTTAATAACTAATATTATATTAAAAACACCACAAGCGCCTTATAGGATAATATATTTATATTATTAAAATAAATAATAATAAAAAGTTTTTTAAGTATAAGGCCTAGGCTAAGTTAAAAGGTTTAATATTTTAATTTTTTTTACTAAAAACTTTAAAGTTTAATAAGATTTTAAAATATTATGCCTAGTATATTAATATAATAGCTTAAGCTATAAAAATTAATACTAGTTTATTAAAAAAAGTATGGCCTAAAATAATTAAGGCCATTATTAAAACCTTAAATTAACTATTTATTATTAAAAATTTTTATAACAAGTTACCCCTATAGCTTTAGTATAAATATTATTAAATTAATAACTTAATACCCTGCCTTAATAACTTTCGCGCTTATAGCTATAAATTATATATTTATATATTAATTAAAAATTATAAATAATTTTATAAGCTTGCTATAAGGGCCCTAATTAGCTATTTAATTAAATATAAAAAAAATAATAATAAAATCTTTTAAGTATAGGTTTTAGGAAAGTAGGTTTACCACTTAAAGCATGTTTTATTTAATAAATTAAAGTTTTATAAAAATAATTACTTACTTAGTACTATATTTATAAAGGGTGCCCTACCTTAACTAAATAAATTAACGCCAGGGGCCACTATATATAACACTAAATTTAATAATATACTTATTTTGGAGCTAATTTTAATAATCCAGGCGCCTAAAATATTAATTATTAACTAAATTTAAACTATATTTCTAACTTTATGGCGCTAACTAACTTTAGTACCATGTGGTAATATTAAATTAAAGTTATTTATCTTATTAATACTAAAATACTAGGTTAATTTTATCCTGGCGCTAATATAGCACTTACATGCTAAAAATATAAAAATCTTACTAAAATAATTAATTAATAATAATAATAATAGCGCTAGCACGCTAAGCCTAACCTTATTAAATTATTATAATAATTTTAATCCAGTAACACCACCTTAATCTTTAATAAAAAATATTAATACTATAATAATACTAGCTTATATATTACTATTAATAAATTTTATTAATTAATTTTAAATATAAATTATATTATTTTTACTAGTAACCTAAGCCCCACCCGCTCCGCGCCCTTAAAAGCTTTAAAATAACCTTAGTTTACTAGGGTTAGCGCTAAATAATATTTAAAATATATATAAATAAATTTTTAAAATAAACTACTTTAAGCCATGTATATTTAATATAAATACTAATATAGTACTAAATACACTAATTAATTAAAATCTAAAAATATTAAACTATAAGATACCAGGCTAATTTCCTAACTAATTAAAGGTTTTAATAATAAAGGCTACCTTATATAAAATAAATATAAATACTAATATTTTTAATATAATAATTATTTTATTAACTAAATACCCTAAACCTTATATTAATTACAGCTTGTTAATTAAAGTAACCAAGCGTGCTAACACTAAAGTTATTAAAATACCTAAAAAAATAGTTTAGTATTTACTTACCAGAAGGTTCTAAATATTAACTAAAATTAAATTATATATTAATAATATTAAAGTGCTAAAATCTTATAAAAAAACATGGTAATCTAAGTTTTTTAACTAATAAAAAAAAACCATGTTAATTTATATTAGTATAATAG